GGTTCATATTTGGTAGATATTTGGCAAATATTCGATAAATATTCGTTATCCTATTCTAGTCTTATAATGCGGTCAAACATGATACATCCAATAAATATACAACCTAGTGATAAATGTAATATTTACAAATAAATCACTACTTACATGAGTCTATATGTCTAAAAAAAATTAGGTTGCATAGAAAATATAATAACTAAAACTTATAGTCTAAAGGGTAATATATAAACGAGTAGTTTTTTAAACAAATGACTTGAATATACCTGGGGTTAAAATTCCATTCGTTTATGGATCCAATAAGAAAAGTTATTTATTTATTGTTAAATGAACTATTGACTTGAACTGTGAACGCGTCAATTGATAAGGACGAAACGACGTTGGGTCATTTACTGCGTGAAGGAGGAAAAATCTCGGTATAGAAATCCCCAAGTTTTTGTATGAGTTCGGTAGCTGACAGAACCCAGAATGAGGTTCTGTCCGCCCAGCGGTCGACCGCATAGGACTCAGCGGTCGACCGTCGCGCGTTCCTGCCTGCAGAATCGTTTCTGCGCTTTGGGCGGTCGACCGGCATGACCTCTGCGGTCGACCGCCGCTCAGCTTCTGAGCCCAGTAGTTCTCGGGCCTGCGAGCGGTCGACCGGAGTGGGTTCTGCGGTTGATCGCCGCACAGTTTTTCCTGCCCTGTTTGTTTCTGCTGTATAGCACACTCGTTAGAGCGCTTGCCTCGATCACCTAACTTTGATCTTCAGTTGTACTAAGCATCTATGCATGATTGAGGGTTTAGATTGTGAGAGTTGTAAACCCATTGTATTCTTTTTCTCTTTAATAGTAGATTTCCCCCTCCTTGCCCCGTGGACGTAGGCAGTTTGCCGAACCACGTAAAATTAGTTGTTTGAGTTTGTGGCCCATTGTAATAGTTTTTAGGATCCCTCGACAGGTCAGTCCTAGAACTGATGAGAGGAAGAGCCGATATCTTACTTGGTTAAGATATCCGCTTCAGATTCTTGTTTCCTTGGTGAGACAGGAATTCTTATCGATCTTTCTCTCTTATTGTGCTGCGCACAACAAGTGGTATCAGAGCCCAGATTCCAGATCTAGGGTTTGGTTGGAGGAGTAGATCAATTTGGAGGCCCGTTTAGGACTTCGTTGGTGATAAAGGTGGGATCTTTTGGTAAAGACTCTATCTTTCAGTTTTGGATCTATTCTTTGTTCGTTGGTGCGTAAGATGTCGGGGAAAGAAGGTGCTTCGGGAGTCGAGGGGGGTTCTTCTGGCGTGAAGACTATTCAGAGTTTGAATATCCACTCTATGAAGATAGATGTGGAGAAATTTAATGGCACAAACAACTTTGGATTATGGAGATGCGAGGTTTTGGATGCGCTGAACGCGCAGAATTTGGAGGATACATTAGAGTTAGATGGCAAGATGGCAAGCCAGATGAGATTGAAGAGAAGGTTTGGAAAAAGATGAATCGAACGGCGTGTGGTGTGATTAGGTCTTGTTTGACTCAAGATCTAAAATATGATGTGATGAATGAGACTTCTGCGAAGAAGATTTGGAAGATTCTCGAAAGCAAGTATTTGACCAAGAGTGTGGAAAATCGCTTGCATTTGAAGAGGAGACTTTATCGTTTCCAGTTGAAGAAGTGAACCTCCATTAGAGATCACATGAACCACTACACAAAACTTCTTGCGGATTTGGCGAATGTGGATGTCAAGATTGAAGATGAGGACAAGGCGTTGCTGTTGTTGAGTTACTTGCCCGACGATGAATATAAGGCCTTCGTTCTTACTCTGATTAATGGGAAGGCATCACTTTCGTATAGTGAGGTCACTGCTGCATTGGTGAATTATCAGCTTCGGAAGAAGGATAAGGAGAATTCGACTGAGTCGGTAGCAGAGGCGTTGGTCGCAAGAGGGAAGAATCTAAACCGGAAGAATTGGAAGTCACAGTCTAGAGTAGGAAAAGATCAGTGTGCTTGGTGCAAGGAGACTGGTCATTGGAAGAAAGACTGCCCAAAGCTCGACGAATGGATGAAGAATAAGCAGAAGGGGAAAGGGAAGCAGCCATCATCAGAAGCAAATATCGTATCGGATGGTAATAATTCTGACTCTTCTATTTATTCGCTTTCTATCAGTCCTACAGATAGCTATTCGGAGGAATCTGAATGGATGTTGGATAGTGGTGCGACCTATCATGTGTGCCCTAGAAGGGAATGGTTCTCCAGTTTTGAGAAGCTGGTGGATAGTGGTGTGGTGTACATGGCTGATAACCGTGCATGCCAGATCCTTGGGATAGGAAGAATTCGCATAAAGATGTTTGACGGGACTGTTAGAGAGTTAAACGGTGTGAGATATGTTCCTTCTTTGAGGAAGAACTTGATCTCGATTGGAGCTTTGGTTGGAGAGGGTCTGAAGGTTCGTGTTGAGGACATGGTTCTCGAGATTGCGAGAGACTCTCGTATTTTGATGAAGGGCGTCAGGAGAAATAACTTGTATTACTTGACTGGAGGTATAGTGGCAGGTGGAGAGCTGACGACTTCTGTTAATTCGACTAGACTGCGGCATTTGGGGCTTGACCATTCCAGTATTGATTCCTCGCATAGATTGAAAGAGGGTGCGAAGACCTGCAGTTTGAAGTCCAGTGAATATGTTGATGTGAGCAAGAAGACCGAGGTGAAGTGTGGCACCTCTATTCACCGTGCTAAGGGTCATTCTGGAGGAGTTCACGTGGATGTTTGGGGGCCTTCCAAGGGAGCATCATTGGGAGATAATAGGCATTTGGTTTCCTTTGTTGGTGACTGTTCTAGGCGTGTTTGGGTTGCAACCAAATCCCCGATGGAGAAAGTCCTAGTAGTCTCTAACAGATTGAAGAAGTGTGTAATAGACAGAAAGGTGAAGGTACTCTATTCTGGTGGGAGGTACAAGATGGACCTATTTCTGTATTGGAGCCGAGCTCACGGCATTTCGAGACACTTCGTTGGAAAGGAAATCTTGGGGCAACTAGATAGGGTGACAAATTTGGAAGACCGTGCCTTGCTGGAGGAGGATCGGTGTTTGTTGTCAAGCAATGGTTTGCAGAAGAGTTTCTGGACAGAGGCTTCGACATATTTGGGTCATCCTATTAAAGAGTTGTCAACTGCTGTGATTGGAGGTAAAACTCCATTAGAAGATAGGTCTGGTAGTGTCACTTTGGTTGAGGCTTCGATGAGGAAGCTAATTGACTCTCAGCAGGTGGAGAGTTTTGGACAGACCTTAGAGGTATCGCAGCGGGTGGAGAGTGATGCTACTCCACATTGGGTAAAGATTACTCCAGATCATTCTGCATTGGTTGGGATTCCAGCTGAGGTGACACAGCGTGGAAGTCATTTGGATTCAGATGCAGATGATGAGTTCGATTTTGATTCAAGTGCAGCTGATAGATATAGTTTGGATATAGCCATTGGTTCACCTCAGGTGGAGGTGTTTGAGGCCATTGGAGGTGCTATCAGCCGCAGAGTTGATGATATTAGAGAAGAGTTGCGAACTCTTCTATTGGATTGAGGTCGTTCGCGGCCATTTGGGTGAACTACGTTTGGCTTGATTCCTTGGGCAAGAGGATACGTAGGCAGTCTTTCAGATGCAGCCGGTTTGGATTTTGATGGGGGTGAGATCGATTTGGTGAGCGACATCGACATTTGGGGTGAGTGTTCGCACTCCCATTTGGGTCTCAGCAAGTGAGACATTTGTTTTGGTTGGTGTCGGCTCAGTTTTGAGAAAAACTTCACCGAGGTGGAGAATTGTGAACGCGTCAATTGATAAGGACGAAACGACGTTGGGTCATTTACTGCGTGAAGGAGGAAAAATCTCGTAACAGGGGATTTGTGGGGACCACGTGATTTGTTTTTTGATCATGAGCACGTTCTTGTGTAGGCCCACCCGATAGCTGCCTATTAATACCCTAAGCTCCTAGGGTTTCGGCTGGGCAAGTAGACTTGAACATGACCGAATACTTAAGCGAATAAATACCGAACTATTTGTTAAGTATTTGGTTCGTCTCAACCCCTATGACATCCAGGGACCAATCTTAAAGACGATTTTTGACCTAGTTCTAATATTGAGGGATTAATGTGGAGTTATTGAAAATGGGAGGGACTAATATCTGAAAAATCCCTATTTGGTAATAATATATGCATGAAGATTGAAGAACCCTTCCTTTTTAGACACGTTGCGTCTAAAATTCTCAACCCAGACCAACAACGATAGATTCCACCCACACACTCCAACGGTCAATATTTCTCCAATCGGATCGGAAAGAGGCGGTATTTAGCTGTAGAAGAAATTTTCGTTTTAGACCCATTAAGACTTTTTTTTAAAAACCGACTCACTCTCATTTTTAATTACCGAAATCGACCCACTTTGTGACCACCTCATCAATGTGGCCATGAAGCGGGTCAATTTTTTTTAATCTCGTCTTTAAATAGTCGGGGTTGCCAATCCCGACAATTTTGCTAATGTCCTAGCTAAATTAGTCGGGGTTGGTAACCCCGACCAATTCGAAAGCCGTAGTTCGAAATGGTCGGGGTTTCCAACCCTGGCCATTTTGCCTTAGCCGATTCCAGCTTGACTCGTCAGCTGGGTGCAAAGGTCACTGCTAAGACAAAATGGTCGAGCTGCAATCAGCTAAGGCAAAATGGTCGGGGTTGGGAACCCCGATCATTTCGAACTACGACTTTCAAATTGGTCGATGTTGCCAACCCCGACCAATTAGACAGAGTCCTAAATTAGTCGGGGTTGTCAATTTCGACTAATTTAGTTAAGACATTAGCAAAATAGTCGGGGTTGACAACCCTGACTATTTAGAGACGAGATTAAAAAAATTGATCCGTTTCGTGGCCACAAAGTGGATCGATTTGGGTAATTAAAATGAGAGTGAGTCGGTTTTTAAAAATAAAAGTTGCATTGGGTTTAAAATGAAAATTTCTTCTTACCTGGTATCCTTCTCGTTCCGCGGTCCGCCCTTCCCCTTTTTCGCATTTTTCCCCAACGAGAAAGCAGCGACTCACGGTTCTAATGGCTTCGGGTAATTTTCAATTTCTCACCTTTTTACAGAATTATTTTGAAAGTTCTCGTTCTTGAGCTGGTTCTTTTGGAAAGCTGGCTCCTTTTTCTTAATCGCGTGGATTTTGATTCGGAATTGTTAGAGTTCTGTTGACTAGGTTTCATAAATTCGAGATATTTTTGTGTTAGATGAAGAGTGGATGGGGGAATTTTGGGGGTATCACGTTTATGAGCCGTCAATTTTTCTTTGAAATGCGGCAGAGTTTAAATTTGTTGGAATTTTGCTGAAAGTTTTGAATTTGAGTAGTGGAAAATTAAAAATTAAATAGAAAATATTTATGGAATCTTGTCTTGGCTGGTGATAAATATTCGTGAACCTATGTAGGATGAGATGAGAGACAGGATGTCTCACAACGACATTAGATAAATATTATGGATATTTGAGCTAAGTTCTACCTCACTGATGCCTGTATGCTTGCAGAAGAGAGAATTTCATATATTCAAATCTGGACCTGAGCACTCTGTATTGCCAAATTTTGATACGCATGGTAGAGTAAAGCTGGATTCTCTGTTTATTGATTGTGGATATTGTCTTTATGCTTGTTTACCTTTTTTACTTCCCATAATTTTATCTTGACATTCGGTGCTTACACTTGTTAACGATTTTTCATCTTAATTACTTTCTTCTGCTTAACTATAGAAGCAACATTCTTTTACCGTAGTTGGATGATCATAGGTATTTATTTATTGCAGAGGTCAGCAGATCAGTTCCACCCGAGTTTGGTATATTCTCTCATCAGAAGATGAAGCAGTTCATAGGAACAGAGAGGCCTTGGCTGAGTAAGTCGCATCTGATTTTGCATATTAAAGGATATATTGATCAGATTTCTTTGAGTTTATTTCTCTCTTTGCCTTTGATTTCAGTTGTGCATTAGTTTAAGTTTGTCATATTATTGTGAAGATCTTTAATTCTGTATAGAGAATGGTCTTTCTGTTGAATTTGATACTCTTGTTTCAAGATGCCATTTTTTTTTCAATTTTTTCTCATCTTGATCTTTTTTTTCTTACCAGGTCTGTATGGAAAAAGAGTAAGACCTGTTGCACCCTTTGGAAGTATGAGCAGCAGGCCATTTCATGATCCAGCCCTCATACATCGATCTTTGCCAGATGAGCTGATATATGAGGTACTTTTCAATATCTTGTATGCGTTTGGCAGTTGAAACAGTTATTTCTTCATTTTGGATTACCAAACATCACTTATAGTTGATTCTGTAACTCGATCCTTCTTGATTATTATCAGTAATGGCTATATATGTAGATTCAATAACTCAGTTGTGCTTTACGGATTGGTGGTTTTTGCAATAACCCTTACAAATGTTCCGTCCTTATCAAAGCTTTTTATGGAGGCAGTTGTTCATGCTACTAACAATATGTAACTTTAGGTAACAAAATTTTGAAGTTAAAATTTAAGTCAGTTAACATGGTGGTTTTTCCTTTTGAAAATTTGATGGTGATGGAGTTATTATACCGGAGGGAGAATTAGTTGAAGAAGTGATTTGATTCTTTTTAATAATTCATTTTATAGAGATTGGAGGCATTAGACTATGCTTCTTGAGGGGTGTAAGCAACCTAGCACAACCCTCCTCCCCTATCCTATCTAAGTACGGAATCTGTGAAATGGTTGATATTGGTAAGCACATCGCTGGTGAAGTTGATAATATTTTGAAGGAACTGAAGAAAATTGGAAAGCTATATAACCTAATGACATTCTTATTTATTTGGAAGTGTGTGTTTGGTATGGATAACTATGTCATTGCAGTGAACATGGTTGTGATCTTCATCTAAAAAAATCTTATGGAAGTATGGAAACTAAGAAAATCCCTGACAAATAATGGAACAACACTTTGCAGGGGCGGAGTTGGAACTTCCATTATGAAGGGGCTAAGAATCCAAAATACATGCATAACTTGTTAGTTGTTTATTTCATAAAAGGAGTTTTTGCAAAATTACTCTCCTCAATCTTTATTATTTTGAAATTGATCCCTCAAATCATTCAAATTGTTTGTAGCTTCCTTAATTGTTAAGTTGTTTAGACATTAGTTCCTCAAACAAACAAAAATACAACTAGGGCCCTTAATCGTCATGATTAATTTGAAACAACTACCCATGAAAATTGGAGGGCTTAATAGCAATTTGAATCGTCACGATTAATTTTAAATATATAACTTAAGAATATAAGGGGACCTTATAGCAAAATCAATGATTGAGGGACTAATATCAAAATATGAAAGGTTTTAGGCACTAAAAGAATAAGGACCAAATATAAAATATGAATTTTTTTTTTGTTGGGGGGGGGGGGGGCTTTGGTATTTATAAGAAAAAGGTAAATACCAAGGGTATGTTTGGCAACCAATGTGTTTTTACTGTTGTGTTTTAATATAAAAACACCATGCCATGGTGTTTTTCGCAAGTGTTTTGAAAACACCATTGCGAGTTTTTGGTCAAACACTAGTTTGACCCTTCATATAATACATATACAACCAACCCACCACTAACCATTATTTCCACTCGACCACCACTCTTACTCCTGCCCACCGGCCGACGCGCGTCGCCGATTGCCACCTCCCACCCGCCGGTGGCCGGCCGCCACCATTTGGAAGCTCCACCTCCACCGCCTATGAATATCTAATTAAAAATAATAATGTGCCACCACTCACATGAAACAATGATGAATAATGATCCAATGATATTCATTTTGCATTCATCAATCCCATAATACATTCTAGTGATGTTAACAATATAATATTCATCAATTTTAAAACACATCATACTAATGTTGTCCAATATGATCGTTCCATATTCTCTGGACCAAACGATCTCGAAATTTTGCCATCCGTCGAAGGTGCTCTGGGCTAACATTAACTGGAACGATATGTTGTTCTCATGCAATAATGTCATCTTCTTCAAGCTCTATATCTTCATTTTCGTACTTGATAAATAACGGATCTTCAGAATCATGCATTCGAATCACATTATGAATAACACAACATGCTAATGCAATATATTTTTGTTTTTTTAAATTATATGAAGGCATGTCCCTTAGAATTGGGAATCATTTTTTCAATACCCCAAATCATCGCTCTATAACATTCCTTAATGAAGAATGCAAGTAATTAAATAGCTCTCTAGCACCTTGAAGTGGAAGATTCTGCCCTCTATAATCATTTAAATGGTAGCGCTCACCACAGAATGGTGAAAGAAAAACCGGCATATTGGTATATCCAGAATTGACCAAATAGTACTTTCTTGGAGGAGGCATGGGGAATTTATTTGCCGGATTGCTAATACATTCTAAGAAAATTCTTGAATCATTTGCACTTCCTTCCCAACTACTCATAACAAATATGAACCACATATTAAAAGAACAAGCACACATCATGTTCATCGTTAGTACAATTTTATTTCCACGGTATGGAATTTGATCATCTGGTTGCACCCAAGCTGAAATATGAGTACCATCTATCGCCCTACACAATTCTGTCATGCAAAAATTATAGGTATATAAATATCAGAACAATATAATAATATGTCATTTAATTGAATGTATTTAGAAGGAATATAGTTGTACCTACCTTGAAATAAAGATAAAACTTTGCTTTAGTCGATATCTTTGATGTAGTTCCATCGGATGAAGGATGAACAATCACATATTTGATCAAAGAACAAATTGCATAAATGACTTTCGTAAAATATGTAGAGATGGTCTCCAATGAGTGTTGAAAGCGATCCACGACCATCCGTTGTCGTTCATTATAAGAAAGCACAAATAAAAATATTGCTAATTGTTCTTGTACCGTCACATTTCTGGAATGTTTTAGTTTTCCAATTCTCTTTAACTCTTCATAGAGATTAACAAAAGCCTCTTTTTTCATTTGAAAAAGATCAAAACAAGTAGCCGAGTGACCATCTAGGGCCTCAATCACCCAATCATGTCCCTTTAATTTTGAAATTCTTTGTGGTCTAGTCTTTTCCATCAAACCACCATGAAGCTCCATGCATGCATAAATAGCCAATAAATCTTCAAATTGCTCATCATTTGAATCAGAATCAGAATGTGATGATGATTGATAGTCATCCACATCCATACCTATAAGCAAATAGAGATGTAATTCAATACTATCAAAAATCTAAGAACAATTGTATATACATACCAAAATAGAAATAGATACACACATTCGGATTAATAAGGATAATAAAATTTTAACATAGTTCATACAACACACACGACATATTATAAGCAACAAAAGACTACCAAATACAGAGGTTCCTCAACCTAATAGAAATAAACATGATAGAAACACACATAAAGGTCCTCAATCAAAATAGTGACAAACATAATAGAAACACACCCAAAAGTCTTGAACCTAATAGAAACAATCATAACATAAGCACCATTGTGAGGTCCTCGGTCTAACACATACAAACATCAACGAAGACTTAACACCCAATCATTCTTTCTCTCTATAGGCATGGCTAGAAACATCATCCTCCATAATGCATCATCATGCAAAACCTATGTGGCCTTAAAAAACTGAGTTGAATTTATATCTTCAAGTGCACTAAGTGCAGTAATGCAATTCACCACACTTTGATCTTCTTCAAAAGGTAAATTTGTTTGCCTATTTATATCACCACTAACATGACTATCTGCAGCAGTAGAACTCATTCTTCTCTCCATCCATTCCATTTTTCTCCTAAAATTCTCTCATCGAGGTGAAAGCATCTACCATTGCTAATTGGATTTGTTGCCTTAATGGTACACGTTTCTTCGCCACTTTTGCCTTTTTCTTAGCTTGCAACGACTCTGCTCCTTCCTCATCTTCCTCATCTTCTTCTTTATTATCCTCACTAATGGTAGGACTTTCGGTAGATGGATGAGCATTATTACCGGTGGCAATTGTATCACCAAAAATAATGCACAATTTATCATAACCTTTACATCCTTTCCTACGAAAATATCTTGCATACTTGTGGCTCTGTGCAAAACAAAATAAATAATGAATCCAATCTCACATGAGGTATCTAATAAAAATTAAAAAAATGAATGATCAAGTATTACCGCATATAACTTGTTCCACACATCCTCTGATGCGGCTATTATACCGGTGCTTGCAGTATATCCAACTCCTGTATCCTTCAATATACTTTTCAAATTTCTCCATCTTTGTCTTAATTATTTAGACTTATTTTTCAATTGATCGTGAGTATATTCTCTCCTGGTCTTCTTTTTCAGCTCATCTTCCATGAATTTCCAAGCCGATCGAGTAAATGTCGTTGTATGCATATTTCCTTTTTTTACTTCTTCCTCCATCAAGTCTATAAAATAAAGCTCCGTCTTTTAAGGCCAAGTTCCCGCCCCCTGTGAAAGGGGTAATCTCCACCACCTCCTCAACATCATGAGTTGCACTTGACATCTATTACATAATACATTCACCTTAATATCAAAATAAAGACGCATAATAAAATAAGAGATCGGTCTTTGCGATATTACTAAAGAGGCGTAATTAAATAGGCACGTTGACAGTAACTATACTTACACTAATTTTGGCTATATAAGCATAATTGTCTATCCTTTTATCTTGAAATGAAAATGCTAGCTCCTGTGATTGTACTGATGTACATCGCCCTAGTTTTTTCATGATATAATGTCTCAAGTATGCAAACTGGTAAAAATCCAAAAGATAAATCCAATCAAATCACATATTTGCCTATTGATTCATTAGATTTATGTATCTTAAGGCTCTAATTAGAAAAGCTAGTAGTTTATTCATCATCTTAAGGCTCTAGAAATTTTCACATAGGTAAAAGTTGAAGGTAGATATCACGCAGTACTAAGTGATTTGCATTTTTATTTTTAAATTAGTATTAGAACTTAGTAGAGGTCATATTCCAAGCAAGTTGGCTCAAGAAACAAACACCTCTCTATAAAAATACTCAACATCCACAACACAAAGAAAACAATCTCAAGCTTTAAAGCCTACCGAGACTCACAGACAATTATATTATTCCCCAACTTCAATCTCTCAGGCTTACATCAATACACAACCTGAACAAGGAGTGTTCATAGCCATTAAGCACAGAGGCACCACCATACACAAACTACTATGAAACTTTTTTTAATGTGCAAAAACAACATCTTATGGAATTGGCTCCTCATAACTTTTCTAAAAATAAACTCACTTTAATAAAATTATCTCCTCAAGATTTAATGACATCTCCTTAATATCATGATAAATGCTTAAATTGACACATTTAGGATAAAATTAGATTAAAAAAAAATGCAAGAAACACTATGTAGAAATGGAACAGGATGTGAATGGCGGTGAAAAATTGGGGCAAAAAGGAATTTCACACAAATGAGGGCAAAAACCCAATCCAAAATAACATACAAATTAGGTTACTTTGCAATAAATTCGTCCAACATGTAAGAGGGACTGAGAGGAAGAAGAAAACACAGAACAGAGAAGTGAGAGGGAGAGATTTGAGTGTTCAAGAGAGATCGGTGAATACCTTGATCGGCAATCTGATCGGACCTTCGACGATGACGATGACGACTTGCACGACGATGGAGACGATAGCTACGGCTATGGCGGCGAGTGGGAGGCGATCGTCAATCGCAGGTAGGAGAGTCGAGAGTTTGGGGATTTTCTTTTCATATTTGGGGGAAATACCTAACATGGTAGACTCAAAACACCTTTTAGGTGTTTTGAGAAAACCGTTTAAGTTTGGGTTTTTTTTATTTATGTGGGTAAGAAGATAATTGTTGGGTTGTAAATCTCACCCCAAATATGTTGGAGTTTTCTTTTACTTTTTTCTGGTCAATGAAGTAAATAATTCCATTAACCATGCAGAGATGTTTCATCAACTCAGGCATACCTGGATGTACATATTGCTTTCAAAATTTTTCTATTTACAAACAAAATCCAGTTGAAACCTGAAAGTATAAGCAGCAAAAAGTATCACGCAACCAAGCAAAATCAGTGCATATAGAAATTACAGAGAGATGAACACCAATCTCTGTACTATAGTGAGATATCATGATGAAAGATAGATGTAAGAAAAGGCACCTTGATTTTCTTTTTCTAAAATATAGAAATATGCATGAACAATAATCATATATATGATGAATCAGTAACTGGCTTTCAACGTGAGTATGATTGAGGGAGACAAAAACATTTATTGTCGACATACATGTCCACCGAGGAGTAAGATATTCAGTTCTTGTTGTTCTCTTAGTTATGTATGAATATTATTCAGATGAAGCTCTACGGTGTATTTTATTTGAAGATGATACTGTATAAGTTGATGAGAATCATACTAGAGAGAATGTTTCAAAGAGTAGAAAGGTTGAGAGAAGCTTTAGAAACTAAAGAGTTTATAAACAGTAAGATAAAGCGTGGAACATAATATTAGGAGTATGAGGAAAATGAAGGTAGAATGAAGATTGATGGTGCTGCATATAATATGATAATTTTTGCTATTAGGATCAATGGTTAATCATAATACTGAGATTAAGGAGGATCTTCTTTATAGAATTAAAGTGGAATTGGCCATCAAGAGTGCTTAATTTCTTCTATGGTAATATAATAGTTAGAGTAAACTTTACTAGTTAAACTTAACTTTATCAATGTAAAATATTATTTCATATGAGCTTTCTTTTTAATCACTCTTTTGGGCTAATATCCTGTATTAAAATCATCTTTGCATTTAACTGGCAAAATGGGTAATTGACTTATGGTGGGTTTAAGGGCATAGCTCCTAGGTGTCTTGTAAGTGTCCGGAAACCAGAAGTAACAAATATCAAGAGACTTGATTTATTGTGATTTGTGCTCATCATTTCAACATTTCTATTTTTATTCTCATCATCTGCTAACCACAGGATGATCACAATCTCCATTAAGTAATAGACCCTTTTGCTATCATCTGAATCTGTGCTGTGAAGAAGAGTTTGTGCAGTCATTCCTTTGGTTTTTCCTTCAGAGTAGGTGCAGAAGTCACTTTAGTGAATATGGCAAACGGGCATCTTTGTTAACCACAAACAGTAGATGAGTAGAATAGTCGCTCTGATATTTTCCATTTTTAGTCTTTGCTCATCATAAAGTCCTGAACCAAGTAGTAGACATCAAAAGGAGGAACTCCTATCTAATCCATAGTAGTAGATGACTTATTCTTGACTTTTAAAAATCATTATCTTTTGTTCGCTATTTCATTAGATTCAACGAGTTAGCACTGTAGAGAACATGTTGCATGCTACAGCAATAAATTTGCAACCTCCTTGAGAGGAAAACACTTGATCACTGGGATACCACAGTTATATTATTCACAGCGCTATATTGACGTCACATATTAAAAGATAATGATAAATCCAATGTAAAATTGTGAATTGTCAATTATCTCCTTTATGGTAGTAGGAAAGTCAATTCGAGAAATTTATTCTACAAGTATTCATTTCAAATATGCGTATATATTCATCTGTTTCTGCTACCACATCCCTTTAGGTATTTGTATGGCAGCATTATGTATTATAACATTGAACCCTTTTACCTCTACTAATATGGTCATCCACTGATAAAATCTTGTATGTATGGTCAAATGCGAACAGGTTTTTGCACGAGCTGATCCATACAGTTTAGGGAGGGCGGCGTGTGTTTGTCGTAAGTGGAGATACACTATTCGCAATCCCAGTTTGTGGCAAAATGCATGTCTGAGAGCATGGCAGGTATTTTTCATTCGAACAACTTATGCTGATTTTATTCAAGTTTTTATCATCTCTGAAAGTTAATATATATGAACACTTCTTTTGAAGTTGTCTGGAGCATCAGAAAACTATAAAATAGTTACATCCATGTATGATTGTTCATGGAGGAAAATGTGGACTCATAGACCAAGAGTTCGTTTCGATGGTAAAATATTTTTTGTGCTGTGAGTTGATCTAAAGAAGCACTTTTTTTGATATTCTCTTCAAATTCTGACATAAGATTATATACCTTACTCAAGCTTGTTGTCTGCCAGGTCTCTATGTCAGTAGGAATACTTATGTTCGTGTTGGAGTCGCAGAGTGGAAAGTCACAAATCCTGTTCATTTGGTACGATTTCTTTCTAATATTTTTGGTAGATCGCTTACTGGCTTATTTATAGCATTTTTTATCTATTACCTTAAATTTTAAGGTGAAATTAACACGGGCAGTTAGATCTATATCTTGCTGATACCAATGTGCTAGGTTATTGGAACTTCTTAGCTTTGTTTTAGCTGAGGATAGAATTAGTGAACATGTTATAGTGTCCTATTTTCATGCTCTTACTTTTCTCTTCTCCTTTGTAGGTTTGTTACTACCGGTACATCAGATTTTATCCCAATGGGAGGTTGCTTTACAAGGTTATTTCTAAATTTTGAACTAGGTTTCAAACTGCAGCCAAGGAAAGGAAATATAATGAATGATTTATATAGCATTTTTCTGATACTAGTTATCATGAGAATTTAGGTCTCCTCTCAAAGGGTTAAAGAGGCAGCAAAATGCATGCACCTTCGTGCTTCTAAGCCTGATTGTGTGTACAAGGGTGAATACAGATTAGCTGAGGACCAGGTAATGTTCTTAGATTCCTGAAGATTAACGCCTCTTATCCGTTGAAATTCTTTGTTGAAGTTATTGATGTTCTGTAACTTGTTACTGTGAACTTTATTCAACTGTATCACATTCGGCTTTTTCCAGGTTGAAGCTGCTATCTTATATCCAGGAGTCCGATTGACTCTTCTGAGAATTCGTGCGAGGTATTTAAGGATATTACTTTTTATTGTTCACTCAGATTTGAAGTTTCAATGTGACTACTTGATATCTTTTAGTGTTTTTCAAATGAGAAGCTTCCTTAGTTTAAAACTGTGATTTATCATATGCATGTTTGTGGAGTCATCGTCTTATGTAAATTCTGTAAAAGTTCTGGCTCCTTACAGGGTTAGAGGGACAGTAGTTGGGGCAAACAATCGAGTGGATCTCTTGAGACTTGTTACAACTGGTGTGAATGAAAGTGAAATAAAAAACCATAGTGGTGGTCTGCTTGGATTTGTAGAAGGTTGGACTGAGGACGAGACACATGACCCAGATGTGCCTGCTATTTCACATAGCAGGGGTCTATCACCCTGTGTTTTTGTTCCATTCAACGAGGTATTCCTACTCTTCAACTTCTATAACATGGAATTATAGATTAATGTCAGAAGCATAAGTTTCCATTTTTCTTTCATACTTCTATGCTAGTGCTAGTTTTTATAGTATCATTCATTGTGGTTTATAAATGTGTATAGTCTGTCTTTTATACTTACAACATTTGCACCCTTCATCCAGACAAAGTGTGAACCCTTACCCCGCATCATGATCCAAAATAAAAGATCTATCCATGACCTTTATTCTAATCTAATCCACAGAGGGCACGTAGGTAATATCGACTATTTAATTATGCTGTCTAGAACACATCTTAGATTCTTTTCCTGCTTCTTTCTATTTTTTGGTCATTTTATTAATTGCAATCCTAATTAGGAGAGGGCATGTTCCTTTTAATTTTTATTCCAAAGATGAAAAAGATTTGAGCCATACATCTTCTTTTGCATCTCCAGCCTGTTTCTAGTAATGATTTATCCTTTGTTTTTTTTTTCTATGCTGCTATTTAGTGTTAAATTCCTATCGTGATTCCTGTCGATAATGACAACAGCGCAATGAAAACAAAGCTTTCATCCGAAATCTTTGCGCTCTGCAACATATCTTTTTTCTCCATTTATTGGTCAAATGCGCAATAATAAATACAAAGCTTTCATCTCAAATCTTAGTGCTCCGCTTCATGGTTCTCTTTTCTCCATTTACTGGTCAAAGGCACAATAATAATACAAAGGCATTCATCTGAAATCTTTGGGCTCTGCCTCATGAATCTATTTACTCCATTTACTGGTCAAAGGCGCAATAAGAAAAACAAAGCTTTCATCCGAAATCTTTGGGCTTTGCTGTATGAATCTATTTTCTCCATTTACAGGTCAAATTGCATATCGTCTGTTAATAATGGAAGTCACACCCTTTTTAACTACCATTATCCATGCTCCCTTAGCTCTACTCTTTTTGCCCTTGCTCCATCAACTAAAAGAACCATTAATGTCCAAATTTATTTACTTCACATGGCCAAATCTTTTCAACCGCTTCTTCCTCATTCACCCTCTTAGTTTATCCTTATGAGAAGCTTTGTCTAACTTGTTATGGATGGTTCATTTCTTATTTATCTTTTTGCATTTTATCCCTCATCAATCTCAATATATTCATTTTACCAGATGCGTTCTCTATTAGGTATGTCTCCTGCCCAAACCATTAATAATTTACTTTTCTTAATGGGTGGTAACTGCAGTGCAAAATATTGGATATATTTATCATGACTGCCCTTCATATTCTGAATCAAAACCGAGGAAGATAGGATGAGCTTGAAAAAGAACCAACTACCTTTGCACGGACTTCCCTGATTGCTGCAAGTTCAGAGTTCTCATATCATCATCATCTAATGTTCTAAGTTTTTTCTCTCCTTACATAAACCCATGCTGAAAAGTCTCCATGAGAAATTCAATGGACTAACTGTGTCATCTTGGTGCCAAAATCCCATGTATGAAACTAGAGGCAAGACAGGGGCTTTACTATAAAACCTATTAGGATAGTTGACCAATGGCGAGAAGAAAATATATTTTAATGGTTATGCTATTCAAAGTCTGTTCAATCAAAGAAATTCTTCAAATTCTCTTAGACAAAAAAAAACAGTGTCAAAAAAGGTAGTAAATGGTAAATTTTGACTTTTGATGTTGGTGTATTTAATCATCTAAGAAGCATTATATATTTCAATAGTAAACACATTCCCAGCAAAGTATCTTCTATACTTCTTATATGTATTTTATCCTTTAGACAGTTATCTTTTCACACCAACTTGACAAGGATGTAAAATACTAAGATTTTCTGCACATTAGTTTGTTCAGCTGATCTATAATGTCGGTTCCTAATGAGATCAGTTTTAGCTTACGCACTGAAGTTAAACAAATATGTTTTTGCAGTGATATTTTTTATGCTGTAAATATTCATATCAAAGTTTCTGATGGGAAATTATCAAGTTCTTCTAATATTTGTTGGTTCACAGTACTATATTTCTTCTAAATAAGTTGTATGATGGAAATTAATTTATTAAGAACTGCATCTGAAATGATTTATCATCTTTTTTTTTGGAATAGCAAATTTGCGAGTACATTCTTCCTTTACACTATGCAGCTTCACATCTTGAAGCTGAACAACAAAAGCCTCAAACCAAAATGTACTAACAGAGATAGGGCATCAGCAAAAAAAAAAAAAGACTAATGAACAAGGTTCCAAATATTGGTCATCGGGGATTTATTGGATGGTCAAAACCCATATCGGATATTGGATATCGGCATGGTTTTAAATATCGGCCGATAATCCGATATTATCGCCGAGTTATCGGATTTGGGAGCTTTCCGCTAGGATAAGTAGGATTTTTAATCGGTTATCGTTTTTTGAAGTTTATCGGCGAGTTATCGGCGATAAAGACACTTATCGGCCGATAAGTAGGCTCTAAATATCGGCTTTATCGGCCGATAAGTAGGATTTGAGAGCTTTTATTTTTTTTTGAATTTGCTCTTTGAATGTTTACAAATTATGAGATATTTGTTGCTTTTGGAACTTGGTTGATTGGTAATTAGCTAATGTTTGTTTATGGATATTGATAATGGCTCATAACTACTAAATATCAACTTAGTAAGTTAGTTTATAAATCTCATGATTAAACAATAATTATGTAGATGCGTAGATGGTTTTTCATTCTTGATGTTATCTTATTATTTGCTTGTTTATTATTCCATTTTGACTAACATTATATTTTTTTCAAGCTTATGTTTGTTTATTATTTGCTAGTATATTACTCCGATAAATACTACTTATCCCCGATTTTCGCTATCCGATAAGGATTTTGACCGTCCGATAAATCCCCGATAACCGACATTTAAAACCTTGGATATCGGGGATATATTAGGGATAAGTAGTATTTATCGGAGTGACATTACCGGATGGTGATATACATAATATAATATTCTAAAATGTAATCTAACCGTACTTAATGAAATATAAACTTACCAAAATGTAAATATTTATGTTTAGGATCACTAACCAAGGGTAGAATCTCGGGTCAGATCGGATTTTAAGTGCATTGAATAGGTGCCCGTTGCCTGAAATCAAAAACTCAAAGCAAAGGTCGATAATTCTGATTTTTGGGCCGACAATATTGGCCGATAACTCACTTTATCGCCGCATTGTTAGCAAGAAACATCCAAAAAACGATAACCGATTTAGAATTGAACTTATCATAGCGGAATGCCCCAAAAACCGATAAATTGCTGATAACATCAGTTTATTGACCGATATTTAAAACATTGCTAATGAATTAAATCTTTCAATACATTGCTGCTGCTACTTTTACTAACAAACTCAAGGAATAGGTGCATAGCACTACACCAATATCTATTTTGTTTAGTATCCTTCAGGTTACTGATTTTACTGGCTTGAATCTTGATCTCATAAATAATAGCCTTCATACACTCTTCCTACTCTTTGCTGTCAAAAACCAACCAATTTATTGCTCTCCAGATATGATATATGCAGGATGCAGCAGCAGCTTCTTTAATAGAACATATTGAAGATCTCCCTCTCCATCTTGTAATCATCCATTGTAAAGCATCAGTCCAAGCAAATTTATCAACCTTTACGTGAACAAAATCCATGATTTTCCCCAGAGCTTACTGAAACTACACAAGAAAGAAATGGTTTCTTCTTCAATTCCAGAATCGCATACAGAGCAAGTATCATCATCAATATCATCAATAGTCTTATATTGTCTAATTTATTCCTAGTAGGCAGATTATGTATACACCACCCATAATATAAAATATTGCTTAGGAATAGAAAATTTATTCCATACCAACACGGTGTTGTAACTTTATCACCAGCAAGCTTCCTATAAGCAGAGGAGGTACTGAATTGAGGAGGATCACCAATCCAAAGCAATCCATTAGCAGTGATGTGAATGCACAGAAGAGCTTCTTCTCTGATCTTGAGAATGTTCTTGAATGACCAGAAGAAATGAAGCTTGATAGCAATTCTCCAAATACTTTGGTCTTTCAGATAGTAATGATGGACCCAGCGAACCCAAAGAGAGTCTTTAGCCAAAGCAACTGCCAATAGGTGTTTAAACATAAGAACTTTGTTGAACAACACGATTTGATGAAGCCCTAATCCAACCACATCTCTTTGATGTACACACTTTGGACTAAGCTACACTAGCCTTGTGATTATTCAACTCCCCTGCCCATGAAACATCCCGACAAAGCTGCTCAACCCATCTAGTGACTTTCTTAGGCAAAACAAAGAAGCCCCCCACCAAAAAAAAAAAAAAACTGCATTCTATGCAGTATAAACTACCGACTTCGCCAGTTGAAGCCTCCCCACCAAAAAAAAAAAAAAACTGCATTCTATGCAGTATAAACTACCGACTTCGCCAGTTGAAGCCTACCAGTAAATGATAATAGCTTGGTAGTACAACATTGAATTCTACTGGTAATCTTCTCAATCAGTAATCCACAATCTCCAGAAGATAAAAACTTAGATATGAGGGGAATTCCAAGATATTTTACAGGATCTCAATTCTAACAATATGATGAACACCTCTTTTTTTTTTTGGAATTTGAAGAGGAAATTAGGTCAACTTGAAATATCAAGGGGAATTTAAGAGGAAATTTGGCTTTGCACAACTCTGCCTTTCATTCATAAAACTTTCCTCCATATATAGAGGTTACAGACTTTTTTGGACTTCACTTTTTCAGATAATTTACAGACTCTTCTGGACTTCACTTTTATAGACTTTTCTGGACTTTACCTTTATAGTTAATCACGGACCCTTCTAGACTTCAGAAAAAAAATAAAAAACTAGCTGACTCAAGCAGCTAGTTAAAAAAAATACTAAAATCATATTGTCTGCTGACTCAAAAGGTAAATCATAGTGTCTGTGACTTTTATTCGTTTCCGATAGATGCACCGTCGTCGTCAAATAAGCGAGAGTCATAGTTATCCTTTAAGGTGCTTAA